ATATGTTATATGTATTGTACTTAAAAACAAAATGTTTAATCAAACTTCTTTCCTATGTGGAACTGGCACAAGAAATGTAAATTTATCGAGCGATTACACATATCTCAGTATATATGTACATAAAATTTCGGCAAACATTGCGACGGTCGCTCTGGCAGCAAAGTCATTTTCTAACGGAAAATAGCGTGCAACAACATTCCTGCCGTACACATGTACAGTGTGCGATTACACAAGTACATATGTGCGTATGTATTCGTGATAAGTTGAGTGTGGTAATAAAACTGGAAATTAAATTTAACCCACAAATACCTTCCATAGGAATATGCAAATGTGCACTTGCCATTTATTCGCTCATATATACATAAATGTGTGCATATTCTACACATAAGGTGCAATGGAAATCAAAATTATTACGACATCTGTAGAAAAAGCTTAGTTGAATTCGAGTGCGCTTGCGGTTGCACACACACTATACAAGTATATCACTTAGACGTAGGCACGTACAGACTCTAACAACAAATAGTGCCTGCGATTACTTGAAAGACTAACGACCTAAACGCGACGCATTCTTTTATGTTTTTAACTGACTTTATTGCATGTTGCATATATAAGTTATGTGTATGTATAACTCAAGTGATCGGGATCCGCAGGTTTATTTAAGTAGAAAGAGCTTGTCTTAACAGTTTAATATAGAGGGCGTGCTGGTGCGTGTATAAATATATGAGGACTGCTGATTCCCCTACAGTCAAATCAGCTTAGCATAAACTACTCGTAACTAGTATCAAATTCAACTTGTCAGCTAACTGCTGCCTTGGAGTCCCACGAAATATCAATTGTGAGATTTCAGCAAGATATTTATGAAAATCATACTAATTCGAAATAGATCAGTAAACCCAAACTAAAACTACTGCCTCTTTAACTTATTTTAATTTGCCTAAATTAACTACATAATACAACTCAAATTATTGCAAATTTTTAGATTTTCGAATTTATGACTTATTTTTATACTCTCGCAACATGTTTCTACAGAGTATAATAGTTTTGTTCACCTAACGGTTGTTTGTATCACCTAAAACTAATTGAGTTAGATATAGGGTTATATATATATAAATGATCAGGATGAAGAGTCGAGTTGAAATCCGGGTAACTGTCTGTCCGTCCGCCTGTCCGTCCGTCTGTGCAAGATGTAACTTGAGTAAAAAACACAAAACACCATTAATCAAAAACAAATAAATTGCCATAACTAAGCCCCGCAATAAGATACAAGACTGTTATTTGGTACACAGGATCACATTAGGGAGGGGCAACTGCAGTTAGATTTTTTTTTAAGTGGGCGTGATCCCGCCTCCTAATAGGTTTAATGTGCATATCTCCAAAACCGCTAAAGCTATAGTAACAAAATTCACTGGAAGCAATTGTGTTTAGCACCTCTACCTACAGTGTGAAAATGGTACCCATATAACTGTTAAAAATACTAAAAGCGCTATAAATCAATCACTAAACACGCCAGAGACATTCAGTTTTATCTCTAGGATGGCATGAGATGACTTTATAGTAACCGCGTTCAAAATTACCGCCCACTTTTAGGTGAAAGCCCATATCTTGGGATCTGCTTAACCGATTTCAACAAAATTTGGCAACATGTCACACAGCTCGTGCCACAATCGATTTATTGAAAGACACCTTTGGTGACCGCCTAATTTCACGTTTTGGCCCTGTGAATTGGCCTGCAAGATCTTATGATTTAACACCGCTAGACTACTTTCTTTGGGGTTATGTAAAGTCATTGGTCTATGCGCATGAGCCACAAACACTTAACCATTTGGAAGACAACATTCGCCGTGTTATTGCCGATATACGGCCACAAATGTTGGAAAAAGCCATCGAAAGTTGTACGTCCAGATTGGACTACATCCGAGCCAGCCGTGGCGGTCATATGCCAGAAATTATATTTAAAATGTAATGCCACAAAATTATCTTTCGGATAAATAAAATTCATGTCAATCGAATAATCCATCGTTGTTTTATTGCAATTTAAAGTTTTATATCTTAAAATAAACACCCTTTACAAAAAATTCCCTACCAGAACTTGATTTAAATCGGCCAGTTTGTAAGGCAGCTTTATGCTATAGTGATCCGATCTGAACAATTTCTTCGGAAATGGTATTAAATCCAAAAGGGACTATACATTCAGATGGACAGACAGATAGACATGGCTAAATTGACTTAGCTCGTCATGCTGATTATTTATGTATATATTTTATAGGGTCTCTGACGTTTCCTCTTGGGTATTACAAGGATTGTGACAAACTTAATATAACCTTTTCAGGGTATAAAAAGAGGCAGATAATAATTTAGAAAAAGTAATCAAGGAAGGATCAGTTAATTAGTAAATTAAGAAATGACGAAAATTATTTTGTGAAGATTTCCAGTAGGACTAAGTAAAGAGAAGATAGTTTGTGTTACTATATTTTCTTTAGTATAATGTTATTTGGTGCCAAAATTTGGTTAAAATCGGTCCCTACATTGACTTTATAGAGTATCTGACATGATATAGACCTTTAACCCATTCATAACCCTTCCACACTTGTCCAAGAAATGTTTATAGTGTCTAAAAAAATTTTAAAGGACCACTAGGTATATTTATTGTATTATTGCTGTGTATGGAATGCGCTTACTTGTGTGCGCACAAACTCCACAAAAGTAATGAGGTAATTCCTTGGGGAACATAAATATGTGTTTACCAACATATGTATACTATATGTTAATTTAATTGCATACATAAATATATAAACGTATGTGCATATATGTGCATGAAAAAGTCATTTGAATTGGAGGTTTGCTCTTTTGTACAGTTATTCTTTTCCCGCAATCTGCGGTCCTCATTTACACAAATCCTTTTAATGAATGCTTCCCTTAGAAGTTTTGTAAGCATATATGGGTAAAGACATATATATGTATGCGAGCACCGCTTTGTTTTCATTAAGTATCAGACACACATTTGCGCCTTTTGTAAATAATACATCTCTAAGCGTTGTTCATGTGAGGTGAAAAACGGCCACAGCAAGAAAACAATTGTATTCAGGTGCTAATTTCATACTTATGCTTTTACACGCCCATTAGACCAAATGTATTACACGCTCTGCGGAATTTAAATAAACTATATAACAAGTGTGCGCGACACATGACCACTAGAATTAAAAAATAATGTTAATTATGTAACCACGCCATCTCTCATACAAAGAGTTAAGCAAATGTTAAAAACAGGCTTTCAAAATGTTTATGGTAATATTTTAGCGGGTTACAATTAACATATAAATATTTAGTGTGCTCAAAAACTAACGGGAATTTTCGTTTCGCACTTATGCCAGCGGTTCTTCCTATCGTCGAAACACTTCTTAAACTGGAGTTTAAAGGTGGCCTTTAGCTTTTTCAGCGATGCGCTTTTAATATTCTTTGATCCATTTTTTTTTTTAAACAAAAGTCACCTAGCTCATAGAAACACGTCTAACGCACTAGCGGCTGCTACAAACAAATTTTATCGTACTTCAAGGGCATGTACATCAACATACTTGTAATAAAAAAAATTTTGACAATTGGACTTTTCAAACTTTAAACTTTAACTTTAATTTTAAAATTTTTGTTATTTTTTACCACACCTCGCATGCTCAACGGTTTATAAACGAAATCATCAATATATTTACTGCAATATTTAGTGTATCTGAAGTGAATTATGTTTCTGTAGTCTAGTTTACAAAATTGCCATTATATGAGGGGTAGGCGTATTAATTGTCCGAATTCGTTCATTTTCAAAATATATCTTGTACTTGCCAGAAATACTTGATTTGAGCATGTTTGGTTAATAAAGCTATAATTGTGGCGGTACCACTCCTACATTGAGTAATTAACCTCATATGCTTCTCTTTACCTCTATGCCTTGTACAAAATCGCCTATATGCAGTACCTACCTAGCCAGATAGCCAAATAGTACTTTTACTCAAGTTATTGCTTACACGGACAAATAGACAGACGGATTTAATCCCTCACAACATCCTGATCATTTTGATATATACATATGACAAGTATATCTATATGTTATATTGTAAGTGTTACAAACAACCATTAGATAAACAAAACTATTATACTTTTTGGCAACATGTTGCGAGAGTATAAAAATATATAGGAATGTCTGCATTATCATTTTAATTAGATTTGACATTTCCAATTTAGACAGTTACTTAAGTAGTAAAACTTAACCCTCATTTGGAATGTGCGCAAAGTTAGTGCCCAAAACATTAGAGAGGTAGAACTTTCAACTAAATAAATTGAACGTGAAAATTTTAAAACATATTTATCGAGCAAAAAAAAATGGGCTTGAATGAAATTAGGTCTAAATTGTCCTCTATCAATAAATATATTTTTTAAATACAGCAGAATTCTAAATCAGAAAATCTTACAATAGTCTACTTATGGTACTTACACTATTGGACAGCAGTAAATATCTACTAACAGGGTATATTAGGTTTGCCATGACGTTTGTAACACCCAAAAGAAAACGTCGGAGACCCTATAAAATTTATACATAAATTTATACATAAATGATCAGCATGATGAGCTGAGTTGATTTAGCCATGGCCGTCTATCGGTCTGTCTGTATATATACAAACTAGCCCCTCAGTTTTTAAGCTTTCGATCTCAAATTTTGCACCTGTCCTGTTCTCCCTAAGAAGCTTATCATTTGTCGGAACGGATATCGGACCACTATAGCATATAGCTGCCATATAATTTGTATTTGTAAAGGGTATTATAACTTCAATGCAACCGATGTTAACATTTTTTTTGGTTTTTGCATAACTTTTCTTCCTTTAGCTGAAAATTTTATTGTTAAATTCTATATAATTGAACATCACATCATGTTTTTCTATTAAACGGCACAAGTTTGGAAATTTTCACACAAATAAGGTCTGTACTATTATTTCTGTTTATTTTTTGTTTTGCAGATTATCACGTAAACTCAAGCCACATATAGTTGCCGATACAGTCAAGCAATATATCAGTCGGGCGCAGCGCACAAGTAAGGGTTCCGGAGAACAGCAGCCTAACATGGAGTTTTTACGTGGTGTTTATGCGTTCATGCAAGTGAGTAGATCATCGGTGAGTGTCGCTATTTCAAATTAACAAACTTACTAATCCATAAAATCTTCTTTTTCTTTTTTGAATTGCGTATGATTTGCTCTCTATCAAAACATTGAACAAATAAATCGAAATCTCATAACCTCAACCGAAATCCAAAAAAAATATATATATTTTAAACTAAAATATTAAACCAATTTTGCTGTTGGCAAAAAAAAAAAATGAGTATAAATATAATAAATAAAAATATACATAACTACGAAAATAATAAAACATGTATGTATAAATATACGCAAATCGCGTTAATAACGTTTAACGAGAGTAAGCTAACATATGAGCTATACAAGTATTATACACACGTAAAAACGTTATTACAAGAGAGAAATGTATAAATAGAGTAAGGTAGGAAATAAATTAGTGGTTATATAAGGTACACATTGTAGCTAATTAATGCCTTCTTCTAACTATTTAACAAATACGTAAATTTGATATCATAAAGTTAGGTTATGTTAATAAAAACGTTGACAATGTCCGCATATAAACATGTATTTAATAAATTATAGTGAAATGCCTTGAGTATTATCCATTGAAGAGTATCCTAAGCATAATTTTGTTGAGCTCTAAGTATTATCAATCTTTGTGTAAATTCCACCAAGCATATACTCGTATTTAATATACAGTGAAGGTGGTCAAATAGCTATATTATATTTGTAGTCGTTTTATCTTATAGCATTAATAAACGAACTAGTTATGTAAACAAAGATGTTATAGGTACGATATCTCTAATATTAAACCTATTAGAAATAAAAGTAATTTTGTTTTTTAAAAGCAATTAATTTCCAAGTCCATCGAGTACCTTAATATTTTGTTTAAGGAGTAAAAGGATTTACACAAAATGATAAATTGGTTTTATACCAAAAATATTTGAAAATGCATGTTTAAAACAAAACTTCAACAAAATTATGACTTAAAACAAAACTGACAAATACCATAAGTAGAAAGAATAAGATGAATATACAAAGAAAAGATATTAGGAATAATTAATTCAAATTACGAGCGAGTGAGCGAGCGAACATACTTGTACAAATAAAAAGTTAATCCCACGGAGCGAACAAACCATTGCAATTGACTGCATTAATTCAGTCAATTATCTCCCGTTATTTGACGAAGTGAAACAATTATCATATTTCAACGAAACAAGAGTAATAAGCAGCGTCACTCATGTTTTTTTCGTAGAGAAAATAATTAACGAAACATTTCCACTGTAAGTTCTTCCGTATACTTTTCTTTAACCCGCACTAGTTACATTAACGGAAAAAATAGAAAATATCAAAAAGTATTATATATAGTTAATTACTAAGTTGAAAAAAAGCAAGTGAAAAAAAACTCATGAAATATTATCATACTTCTATTTTCTCTTACGCTCATTGTATTTTTCCTAATTTATATAAAATAATTTTACGTTCCTTAATCGATCTACATATTTCCTGTCGTCGTTTCGAAGCAAATAATTATGAGTTTAGGAGTAAATCCACGATCTCGTCATGTATTTTCTACAATCAACAACTGAAGTTCTCTTGCTTTTAACATTTTCCTAGCACTTTATTAATTGTGCTTTATGATAAACGTTGAGTTCTATTTTTTACATTCCGTAGTTGCAAACATTTTATGAAAGTGTTTCCCTACAAATGAAAAGTGTAACCGAATTCTTTAACTCAGCGCAGTCATTCACTTATATCCTTTTACAGCTTGTTTTGTGGTAGATATATTTATATATATATATATTTATTATTATTTGACATCAACACATACATTATCCTAGATATCAGCCAACGTGTCAGCATCTACCAGTGCAGCAGTAACACAAGCCACCCATCTTCACTCCTCTCATTTCTCTATCATCATCAACCCACCATATAAATCGTCATCATCGGCAGCAGCATTTTGTCATAACTTTCAAGCTCTTCTGCTGCTGCCAACATCTGTTCATAAAGTTCGGACTCTGTTTAAAAAAGTAATTTTTAAGTTGCAAGATACGCATTTTTTTGTTAAGTGAATTTAATGATATTTACCTAAACATCGACATAGCCAATATGCTGTCTACCATATACATCAGAGAAAAGCTGGTTTCGTTTCTATGTGTGTACCACTATATGTCCTTATACGAATTCATATGTGATTATTAGTGAATCAATTTCATTAATTCTGCATTCTCTCCATTCATCTTACAATATACATCAGTTTTTCGGTACTATTCTATTTGACGTTTCCAAGTGGTAGGTGGATTCATAACGAATAAGCTTTCGGCGTGTTTTTGAATGTTCCTTCATCAAAACATTCTGCTGACGTCGTACACAAAGTGCTATGTAAATGAAGACCTTTACGTAAGAAAGAAATATAGTAAAGTTTCAAGAGCGGTTAATAAATAAAGGCAGTATTAATTTACTATTTGTCATTTGTATAATATTTGTACCTATTTTTTTTCCTTGTCTGCCTCTATTGTTCTCTGTGTATCTTTAACTATCTCTATACTTCTTCGTCTGCCTTTTCTATTCTAACAGTTTACTTCTTAACTTATTTTCTATCGTCTTCAAGTGTATGTTTGGGTGTGCGTATTCTTACTTCTCTAGTTTTCACATGTGTTTGAATTTTTATTTTCGGTCTTAGTATTTATGTGTACGTGCACAATGCTATATATTCGATTGTTTAGCTTATCTTTAGTTTCTCCCTGACTGTCTTTCTGTCTCTGCTTAAACTAGTATTTATTAAAGAAATGGGGTCTGAAGGCTCCATTAAGGCACCATTCGGTTACTTAGCGTCTATCTAACTCAGAGCAGCTCCCACTACAATTTTCACTGCATTGTGGGCTGGAATCTTCCACGACATTGGCCTACAGGTGGGCTTTCAAAGGGCGGATTAATGTTGGTTACTTACTACCCAAGTTTAATATTTTCTGAATTACTGCAAAATCTTCTAATAGGGTAATTAATTCAAACTCCAATTTAATATCAAATAGCAAAAAAATCACGCAAATAAAAATGTGCCCTAACTAACGAACTAACCAAGAATATTTGTTTAATATATATAATTTTTTTATTTTACTTTTATTTAGTGCTAAATGAAGCCACTCAAGCAACTGTAAATATATTTATTAAAATTTTTGTTCAAGTAATTTGTAAATATTACAGCAATAACTGTTTGAAACCGGCGACTGTCGACCAATTTCTTTTACAACATAATATAGAGACGAGAATTGGTGTACCAGATTAAAAAACACGGCCTACAGTCGTCTGTGGCAGATCTTTAACTAGACAGCTAACACTCAAATTAGATCAACACACACACACATACGTATAGATACATATACTTTAGATATTTAATTTCCGAAAGTTCAAAAATCACTTATTTTATTTCCTCTCCTACAAAGCTTATATAATACAATGCGTACTTAAAACGCGTAAATTAAACTCGATATTATGTCTACATTTGAATAAGTAAGTCGTATAACGATAGCTACAGGTACAACAACAGTAATGGAAGAAACAAAGGGCGGCAACTGCTGCCATCGTCAAGTACACTGCAACAGTCGTAATTGCAAAGTTATTATGAAAGATATTTTATATAGCAAATATTTTAACTCGATTTAACTCGAATTAACATGTATTTTTATTTACTTTATGTATGCAATTGTGTATTTTACGAAGGTTAACTACGACTATGAAACTCCTGCTGCTACTACAACAACGTTTATTGCTCCTTTTTCAACCATATCGTCGACAGTTACAACAACCACAGCTGAAAATAATATGAATTATAGTAAAACCTCAAGTGAAAATATGATTGCGCGAAAAACTACTCCTCTGACAACAGCTAAAACGACGAAGGCAACAGCTATAGCTACAGTTATACTTGTAAATGCACCCAAAACATAACAAATCAATATCGTAAAAGTAATAGTAACCGAGAAAGACGATAAGTGGCAACAATAATGAAAATACTTGCTGTGCTAACTTTATAATATTCCTGTACAGATTTTCTTAGAGAAAACTCCCTCTCAATTTCTTCTATCTCTGTGCATCAAAGCACATAGGCATGAAAATCCATAGTAGAAATCCACTTTACTGGAAGAACGGAAGAATAATACTGAAGCTATTCTTACAAAAGTCAAATGACGAAATCTGCGTCCTCGGGTAACCTAAGAATTTATTCATAGGACAACAGCAAAAATTAAATAATAAAACAAGCAAAACAAAATATAAATATAAAATAAACGCTTTAGTAATAATAATAAAAAGCAACAATAATAATAAAAATTTACATCAAAGCGATTGTGATAAATTGTCATGCAAATCAAATTAAACATAATCATGATACCCAAATTACTTCTAATCAAAAACTAAACTAAGTAAAGATCAAAAATTAACAATAATTAAAAAAATAATAAAATCAACCTTCAACTCCTAGTAATCAATAATCCAGAAGTTATAACGCCTTGCGCGTCACAGATATCAAACAAATATATATCCCGCTAGAATTTGCATGTCCGTATCACGACAATAGTGAGTACTATTAAAATAGGAGCGAATTAGCTTCTTAATACTCGAATTCTCCAAATATACAATCAACAAACGCTTGATTGCTGCTTTGCAACTTTCACAGACTTCTCACGCGAAATCGCACCATTTGCTCTACGCCGCGGAGTAGACTCATTTCAATTAATATATTAATCGACTAATTCGTTGTTGCAGCCATAAGCGAAGCTTCTTATTGTGCCTTCAATTATTTTGCAAGCGAGCGCCAGATTGTAGGCTCAGGTGTTGGTGTTGCCTTCTGTGTGCGTGCGTGTGTGTTATCTTCCGAGTCATCAAAGCGCTACCGGAAGTTAACCACAAAACGATCTCGTTTACAAAGAGAAAAAAATGGTAATTAAAAACATTCTTCAGCGGTTTCTTTTTTATACACACAGATATATGTTTTTGTTGTCCTTAATATTTATAGTTTTAATTTTTAGTTTTACATAG